TTGCTTCCACGAGCCATGTTACGTCTCGCAAAGGCAACGCATACCAATGAGCCTGCCAATCTTGTGCTTACTCTATCCACATTAATATGTTCAACCTTTTCCTGTACTGCGCATACGCCATACTATTTCTTTGAGCGGGTATCTGTCCGTCGTGCAGACTAGTGGATACCCATCACGTCCAAGTGTGATATGTGGTTATAACTCTTGCTATATTTAGCCTATATGTCTGCTCCTAATCACGGCTAACCTATATCTCTATCTCTTTTGTCGTGAATCACTGTATCTCTAACTCGTACAGACAAGAAGGCACAGTGTGGAGACTGTTGTTGTACCACACGCAAGGGTTTGGGTGATTTTGACTATGAAAAGCATAGCTTTAGCAGCACATGCCCCGACAGGATGCGGTCTGTGGAGTGTGACGACAATTGTGGGTGTGGGCCAGGTTGCCACAACAGACAGGTATGTGGTTCTAGAACGTGTGTGTGTGTATGTACTTATATCAGTATAGTCTGTATATCTTATGGAACACAATGTTTGGTTTGAACAGTCGATGCCGTGACACTTATATCCACAAAATTGTAAAATCCCTGCAGCATTTGGTAAACGATTGACATACTGCTTTGTTTCAGCCTACAGACAAGCATATGCCAAAAAAATGTCGTTTAGCGCAACCGCCCAAGTCACAATATGTCCCATTTTAACGCCTATCAATCAGTACTTTGTATAAGACTACTCACATATCGCGCGTTTCTGTGACCAGGTTGGCAAAAGCAAAAGTAAATTTCTCGGTATGGTCACATACCGTATGATAAATACATACATTTAATCTACGTACTGAAACATACTGTCTATGTCACCTTTTACATATCAAACACTCGTGCCGACAGGTGGGCAACCACAAAAGCAAGTCGTTTGGCACTTCTCAGCCATGCGAGTCGGATCTTCTTGTGCGCAATGTGTGGGGCTTTGACGCGTTCACAAGGCGGAATATATTCTTGTCCATAAAACACGAACTAGAAAATGCGCACAGTGAACAACAAGCGTTACTGGTGCGTATTAAGGCTATGCACGTGGGTACAGGCAGTGATGGAGGGAAGAAGCGTGGTAGTAATAAGGTGGCTAGTAGCAGACCAGCGTCCCGCAATTCGGCGAAGGCTTCGAAAGCGGGATCTGTTCTACAACTGTGCGACTACACCGACACGCACGAAAATGATAGGGCCATAGTCGACCGGGGATTAAAATTCGATGGATACCTTCATAGTGCGAATCCAGGTGTTGGTGTAGGTGCGAATACACAGGAGGATGTAGATACGGATAATTTCGGTATTGATACTGAAAGCGTGATGACTACCGGAACTAATTCCGGGACGGGTGCTTCGTGGAGTGGGGGTTTGTGCATGAGTGCGCACATGATGAATGTGTTGGCGCATAAACCACCTACGGGGAATGCGAAACTACGGGTCAATATTGCTATGATGCGGGATTTGCTGGATTCGAAGATAGAAAAAGCGCGCAAGATGAGGGAGGGTGCAGGTGTGTGGATCTGCGTGAAGTTGGTTGGTGTCTGTAGCGAATTTTCTCTGTGTGCTTGTGTTTTCTTGTGTGGATGTGGGGTTGGTTTAAGGTGGTTGTTTTCATACATGCAGTCTGACGGTGAACGTGAGTTTTTGGCATATGGTTAATCGACATTGAGACCACTAGTTATAGTCGATGATTTAGATTGAGATGGGCTCGAATTGTTTCCACATATGGAGGTTAAGATTCATCTACTACAAACATATGGGTGTGCTGTGAGCGTTGTGGATGTTGCTCATTAATCAGAAAGTCTCTACTGTACCACTACAACCATTAGATGGATATATGCGCCTAGCGTCATCGCAGCTAAAGGAACAAATCTGCGATACAGAGATTGCTATTTTAGTACGTATATGCTGTAGTGTATATACTAGTTATGATATACTCGTTTTGGTAGTACGCAATTAAGGCTACTGAGCGAATAGAACAGCGGTGGTTGGATATGGAATATTTACACAAGCATATATAACTGTCGTGCAACACGTACGGACACGATTTTTCACGCATACAAGAGCTGTTATAATTGCACACATACTTATTCGTTCCACTACCATCCTCGAAAATTTATAGGAATTACTAGTCCTGCTAATACAGCTACTACGCCCACGTTGGGCACGAACACGGAAACAAAGGTAGAAATGGCTGCGTTGCAGATCGTGAACGGAAACATGAATTCAAACCAGGACGTAAAGTCGGATAGCAACAGTCAAGTGATTGTTAGTGCCAACGCAAACACCGGTAATGATTCAGCGTCGTCTGAAATGACCACGGACGTTGTTGCGGATGCGCCGATACAAAGTGTATTCAAGATGGAGGGGATGCTTGCAGATACTACCCTCGCAAGTACAACCGCGGGCAAGTGTACTGACACAACCCCGTCTGATATGGCGTTCACAGCAGATGTGGACTCGTTGGACAGCACGTCGTCTAAAATGGTGAAAATGGACAAGGATATGACAGCAAATGTAAGTGCTAAGGGAGGTATGGGTACAGATAGTGCTGCTTTGGCCGTGTGTAAGCAAGAAGACATCGTGCGTAAGGTGGAGGGGATGGACAAGGATAAGGCTGCGAACGTAGGCACATCAGCAGATACGAGTACAGATGCAGCTGTGTCTGAGATTGCTGAAGCAGCGGCCGTGGACTTATCGAGGGGAATCAAGATAGAGGAAGATGTCAGTATTGAGAATGGCACCGACATGACCTGTGCCCTTGCGGGAGGTGCAGGATTTTCTCCAGCCGTGGGCACGATATCACCCCTATGTACACCCAAACTCGTTAAAGGGACTCCCAACACCACACCTATTGACACATCAGCACCTACATACATATCGCCACACCCGCATGCACACACACCTACATTCACACACACGGCATCCGAGGCGGTCGACATGTTAACACAGCCGTTGCCGTCGCCTGAACCTCCTTACGTTCACACTCTGCTGCCCCCTGCGCTCAGTGCAGTAGTAGGGGATAGTACAAGAACAATATTGGAGAGTGTAGTGGTAGGAGATAGTGTAGTTCCATCGCTGGAATCACAGCTGCCTGATCCGTCGCTTGCGCACACACTCGAGCCACCTGTACAGATACAGACTTCATCCTCGTATATACTGCACGACAAACAAAAGATGCTCCAGACGTATGGCAATGAAACACAGCTAGAAGGCAAGGCATTACTAGAAGGTGACAAGGTGACATCATATAATATTATAGAATATGGTACAGCATCGGCAGCTAGGAGTGAGACACTACAAAATGAGTGCATAGAAGTTGAATTAGAGCTGGATGTATCCGAGGCGGATAGTAAGAACCATGGAAATGAGTTTGAAACATCGACAGGGGCTTGTAAGGCAGCACAAGGTGAAAGCGGATCATCACAACCAGAAAGCGTAGAACCACTGGGGAATACTCGAATGCCAAGCGCAGAAGAGTTGGCAGCGCTAGAGCGTAGCGTGGTTTCACAAGACGGAGGAACAGCAGCACAGGCCAAGACCGAAGCACCAGAAGTGGATGTTCAAGTTTCCAGAGAAGAATATCTATCGTCGTCAGAGGGTAGAGAGGCGTCACTGGAGGCGAGTAGAGCATCACAGACTGAAATGACAGCACTGATCGCACACCCAGAACTATCAGCATCGCCAGAGGACAGTAAGTCATTGCAAGGAGGGAGCAACGTACACTCACCACAAAGTGACCCTACGTACGCGCGAATGCGAATGGACACCACCACGACTCTACCACGTGGAAGCGCTACTGAGCCAAGAAAAGGACGAAAGCGAAAACGAGAGAGCGTCAGCATGTTGAAAAAGTTACAGACAGGGCTAGCCACACATGCCTCGAAAACGGAGGAGTGTAAGCGCAGCTTGCAGGATTTGAAGGCACAGTTGGGCGAAGCGGATAGCAGTAAAGCAGTGCGTGGTGGTAGTAAAACACTGCATGGGGGCAGTAAAGCACCTCAAGTGGGCAGTAGTGCATTGCATGGAGGTAGCCAGCCAGCATCGCCGAACAGAGATGGTGCTGTAGAGGAGCTGAAGAAACAGATTGCGAAGGAAGAGACGGCCCTTAAAGTGAACGAGCATTGGGTGGAGTATCTAACTCAGGAGATTGCAAAATTGGTGGCCGACGGTGGTGGCATAAATGGGAGTTGCAAGTCAAAACTGGTAGACAGTCAAGCACTACCAATAGATGGTACAAGATTGCAGGGGCAACGCAGAGCATCGCCAGTGCGTAGCAAAGCACTTCAAGCAACCTGTGAATCACACGGTATATTACGAGCTGAGATATCTGCGACAGCAGATTGCAAGGATAACGCCAACAAGCTCAGAGCGGTTAGATGGAAACGGGCGCGGAATGAGACACTCGCAGAGGTCTCAGATGATAGAGGACAATTGACGAGCAGTGCCTCACTATTGGAGGTGGAGGATTGTCGGGGAGAGTCAGCAAGGAATTCCCAGTCCACAGAAGCGCCGGCCAAAACCGGGCAATTAACGAAGAGTGCCACACGCACTGAGAGCACGGAAAGCAGTGTTCAATTAAATGCCGCACTCACCGAGGCACCGGACATTAGTGAACAGCTATCAAGGGGAGTCGGTGGTATACATCCGAAGAGGTCTGCAGTTGCAGATCAAGAGAGAGGCGCCAGTGGCAACAACACGCTAGGTATTCGGAGAACAAGAGTGTAGAATATTTGCTGAACTGATTTGGCACATGGGATTTTATGTGCGTGCTCTTTTTCTGACTTTGCTAGCCGGTTTTGAACATATCTTCCCTTTTGTTTTTGACCTAGTTAACTTTTTATTCTTCTATACTTTGAGCTCGTGTTTTTACTCATAAGCCGATACAATGGCCGTAGATCTCCAATAGAACTTACTTTTGTCCTGCTGTTCTCGTCTGGTTGTTTGGGCGGTGCTATATGCGCTAATACCTTGCTACTTGCCTCCATAACACATGGAACAAATCCTGGTTTCTACTGGTAGTAAGGAAATCATCAACCAACTTCAAATTGTCAACTAAATCACCCTTAATTTGTTTTACCCTTTATTGCCAAGTCGTTTCTAGGCAATCACGTAAATCGCTGTGCTACATTTTTGCCTATCTGTAGTGATCGCTAGAGGTTCACGAGAAATAAAAATCTAGTCAATCTTGCTTGCGTTCCAAGGCTGCCATCCTGCTTCGCTCATTTCTTGCTCTCCAATCCCATTGCTATTTCATATAGGCAGGATGAGGCGAAAACCCTCACAAATTGATTGTGAGTCGAAACCTGGTTCTACGATAGTGGATGGTATTGATATAAGCGCACCCAGGCCCAAACGACAACGAGCATCAACAACATCACCGGTTGTTAAGCAACAGAAGCCACCTGTAAATCCTACTATCCAGGTCACTTCAAAAAAGCTAAGAACCAAACTGAGATTGAAGGATAAAACACCTAAGAAGGTGCCTGGCGTCGAGACTATAAGCAAGGCAACGACACAATTAAACCGAGATGGTAAACGCGTATGTTTGGGCAAGGAAGGAATTAGCCCCACAACAACTGGCCGGGTGTTGAAGGCGGGATCTGATGTGCCTAAGAGAAAGCCGGGTAGACCCAAAAATAAAACCAAGGCCGCCAATGATGTTAAGGTGGAGTTGAAGGATGGTCTCAAGATAGGCACCGCAGCCATGGGTGGTGTACCTGCCGCATTGCCGGATGGGAAAGCAGTAGAGGACAACGGATGGGTCAGTGATGTAGGGGTGGCCGAGCATCTGGTGACTCGGAGTGCAGGTCCCAGCTCCGGATTAGTCCAGTCGGGGGTTATGACAGGCGTTAAACCAAGTGTCAAGACAAGGATCAGAACTGCAGGTAAGATGTCACCCGTGTCAGTGTCAGAAACGGCGGAGAAATTAACTGGAGATAGCGACAGAATGGGCAAAGTGGAGGTGAAGGTGGAAAACGTAGATCGAAGCGCAAGTCCGAATACGGTGTATCACGCCAACGAAGTAGATGCCATGGAAGCTGATCCTGTGGTAGGTATGGATGTCAAAAAAGCTGTCGAGAAAGGTGTCAAGAACGGTATCCGGAAGAGTTTGAAGCGGAACGCTTTCAAGCGAGGTGTCAATCAGGATGGTAAGGAAAATGGGCAAACAGTAGTTAAAAAGGAGGTCAACAGGTCAGTGGGCTCAGGGATCGCGACGTCTGTCGGTGACACGGTGGTTGACGGTGTCAGGGGCTTGAATGTTGTCGTGAAGGCCGAAACCGCTTCCTCGAAAAAACCGGTAAGTGTTTACTTGCTGTGCTGGTCTAGTTCATTGCTTGTGTGCGTGTACTATCGGTTTTTTTGCCAGTATAAACTTGTCCAGAGATTTGTGCGTGCTCTGTGATCTCGCGTACATGTGTACCGCTTATTGTACATTCTTGTAAAACTACAAACTCGATTTATCATGCATTCTGAATGTTCTCAAGCGTATCTAAATTGATCTTCTTGATTGTTCATGTACAATAAAATTTCAGGAGCCCGTTCCGTGGTATATGAACATGCCTCCTGAACAGGAGCTGAACCCCACAGTATGGGACGATGAGATTGGTCTATTTATAGACAACATTCTCTTGCGGTTTGGCAACAACCAAGATGATCGCTACTGCTATGACATGGCCTATGTCTTGAAACAGATCATAGCCAGGTGAGTCTGTCTGAGTGGTGTGTTGCTAATAGTCCTATAGAGAGTCAGATAGTCCAGCACGTCTATATAAAGCCCTAAACCTTAAAACCATAATATATATGGTAGTCATTTGGGCTGTATATCTACAAAGGTACGTTTGCTGAGGTGGTTCTTCTGCGGTAGCCCAAAATTTATCAAAACGGATAGTTTATGGAGCAATTGAGTCTATCCATAGCGACCAGATAGTTCAGACTAGTACCCCTATTGCACGATCACTGTCCTGATGCAATTAACTTCAAGACCGCCTGTTTATTTAACTCGCTTGTAAATTCTCGGCTCAAGTTTCGCAGCAAGGCTCGGTCTTCCTCTACTATCTATAGGATACTTATGTATCTTCACCTAGTGTTTCAATCTGCATCGTATATTAACCATCCTTGTCCATACTTCCCATGTACAGCTGTGACATTTCGTCGGACGCGCGTGTGATCCGCTTTTGCTTTGCGGTGCTGAAATCTATCGACACATATGGCATTGAGGCTTTCAAAATTCATCCGAAGGGTGCGGGCATAGTGTGTAACACCGAAGAAGGGCTTAGAGGCAACGAGTTCATAGTGGAGTTCTATGGAGAGGTGTGTATACACGTACGTATGCATGTCCATACACGTGTGTGTGCGTGCGTGGCAGTTTTGTATACTTGGCTCGATACAGTCAGCAAGCACGGCAGAGGACCCTTCAAGAATTAAGAGCACTTCGTATCAACGCATTGAAGGGTAATGGTTGTTGTGTCTGAGTCTCTGGTTGGTTTGGTGATTTAATTGAATGCTATTTTCAGAGTTGGAAAATCTTCATGACAATTTTTTATCTGTATAAATGCTCATCTAAAACTGCATATCCATATTTACTTCCTTCATGTATGGCCAAGTTGAGATCGACAAAATTATAATATACGCACATGTACGATTCAATGAGATATTCTCCAGATAGTGGTGTTTCGAGACAATATCTCATTCAATGTATCAATACAAGCGCAGATCTCCAACACACAATATTACACACGTCCACCAGGTATACTCTCCGTGGCGTTGGTTCGAGAAGCAAGACATTGTCAAGAAAATGCTTCGTAAGGGATCGTTGCCAGAGTTCTACAACATGATGTTAGAACGCCACAGAGACGATGCTAAGGGGTTCGATGTCCTTTTCGTGGACCCTACTAATCGGGGCACATACGGCTCAAGACTTTCTCACTCGTGCGATCCCAACTGTGCCACCCATGTCATGGCGGTCAATGGGCGCTTTGTGCTGGCTGTATACACGGTTAGGTAGGTAAATGCGTGGTGTAAGCCTTCAATGGATATTTGCGTACAGACTGTGCTGAATTAGCTATGGGTTGTGGTGGTTTTATGCACGGGTTGATAAGAGTAGAGTCTTAGTACAGTGTCCCGTTGGTCATGTGTGTATCTTTAAGCTCCCGCTAAACGCGATGAGCTGTATTTTCTGTGTGGTCAATGTCTGACGAGAAGCTATTTTTCACCAGCAATCCACTACATGTGAGGGCAGAATAGTTGATATACATACATACATATGTATTGTTGATCTATTCTCTGGCAAAAGTCACTCTAATCCCATCATCTGATTGCTTCCCTTTCTTGCCACAGAGATATCAAGTATGGCGAGGAGCTCTGTTTCGACTACAACTCAGTAACCGAGAGTATTGACGAGTACCGCAAGGCTGTCTGCCTATGCGGCACGTCGAAGTGTCGGCAAAGTTTTCTATACTTCGCGAACAGCGCCACATTTCAATGCGTAAGTGACTATGGTGGAGGGGTTGTACGGTGTGTATAGAAGTTTGTGTTTCTAGACTCTTTGTTGGTTGTGGGGTCAGCTTCATTGTGTGTATCTGTGAGTACAGTGGCATGTGTTCATGTTTGTGTTCCTCAAGAGCGTCTATCTGTGCGGCTCGTTGATATGTCTTTTAGGTCCCCAACACTTCATCGTACATATTGGAGACATTAGATACCTCTTTGCGAACAGCGTAGGTATCTCGGGTGTCGCGCGTATATATATATATACACACACACACACACACACACACACACACACACATATATATATATATATATATA